CGCAATCGTGACATGAATTTTGAATTGAAATGATTTATCGTCACGACTTGCAGTGAGTGCAAATTTATTACAATAATGTAAAAAAAATTACCATTTTTATTACCATAATTCAATTCAATTAAATTATTGTTAACAAGATGTGTTAATTATTAACGAATGCTAGAGTTAGATGTGATCAAATGAGCATTTCTTATTATTTCGCGAAAAATTTCGTTGACAGCAAAAAATTTAACATGCAAACAAATAATATGTTTATAATCTTTCATACGGTTGATACGATGATCCGTGAAAACTAATGGAATGGATGTTCATTGTAGTTGAGGACATGCCCGACGTTTCGAACGCATTGAACATTCCTCTTCAGGTGCTTCATTGATTATTTAATTCAACAAAACCAAATCAAAATTTCAATAGAGCTTTTTTTACAACACCAGCAGTACAATGAAAATCTGTATCATAACGGTCCAGAACTCAATTTTCATAATTTACTAATGGAGTGAGTCTTACTGAGGAATCGAGGAGTTCATGTCCCTTCCTTTCATGCATTTCATTTCTGGAGAGGATCAACGTTTTCTCGAATGGAGTGAGAAGAACAAGTTATCCATTCTTCTATGTGTCTCAAAACGAATAAATCGTCAAAACAAACATTATTAAAATTCATATCACAATCGTGACATGAGTTTTGAATCGAAATGATTTATAATCATGACTTGGATGCCTGAAAATTATAAAAGTTACGAAACTAAGCTTGTTTCTGGACACGATATTCTTCAGTGCTGGAAGAAAAATATGTGCGAGTGAATCCCGCGCATAAGAGACGTCACGAAACTTTTATACAGCCCCAGGATCCCCTCCGTCCACTGCTGACGTACGATGACACGCAGAAACCCCATACCACTACTGCCAATGTTGTGACGTAACTCGGTACTGAATTATACTTCATCCCGGGGTAAGAAACAATTTGTATTATTAGGAATTAGCCTAGTCCAGAAACGTCTCCAATAAAAAACATATGACATGGAATCATGACAGTACATACTTTAAGAATATTATATAATTCATGCGAGACGTCATGTAATGAGATTGCATAAATCTCTGATTGATACCTGAGGTAGACAACTCCTTGATGCACGAACTTCCCTCTTTTTGTTTTTGTTGTTAATTTTTCTGATGTATGTGATGGCACTTATGCTCGAGGTCGAGCTTGAGCGGTGCAGTGGGATGAGAGAGGGTCCTTCTACAACTGCTCGTCTAAATATTAGGCTTGAAGTGGGACTAACTTGTTGGTCATCTGTCAATTAATCTCACTCCTTTCAAGGACAAGCATTTTTTTCATTTCATTCTCCATTTCGCAATTGTGCCTCTCAGAATATTATTCACGAGTGAAATTTCAATTGCTCAAGTGTGTTTACATTATTTGCATTTTTGCTATCGTCTTCGTCTTGCATCAGCCCTCCCAAGAAATCGAAAAATTCACGTTTTATCAGGAATTGAGAAAGCTCGAGAATACTACCAACGTATACACGAGTTTATAAACGCGCAAATTGAATTATCAATTCATCATTGAACTACATCGTTAACGAGACTACCTAGTGACAGTTACACAAAGTACCGATATCCATATTAGACTTTGGATTCACAGCATTGCGGTAGGTTATGAATCGAAGAATTCCCCAATAAGCCAACGATACGATGAATAAGTGTTCTGAGACAGTATGCGACGCTGTCGTAATAATCAACGTTAGTATAAAGTCCAAAAGCGATTCGTCACTATGATGCGCCGACTGTCTGCGGTTCGCCGTAGACACCGGAATAGAAATACATTGATATATTTTTTTTTCTTGTTCTCGTACGCATGTCCTTGTCGGACAATCAAGGTTCAGCAAGCCGAATTGAATATTGCTGTTGCTTCCTGTTTATGGTATTGGCACTTCACTCCCCTAGATTTTTACATCGAGATAATGAGCAAGTGTCGATGATTGACAGTTTCTCTGATATTTTGTGTACAATCATTGATAAGATACTCAGGCTGATTAATAGAAATCTCATTGCGAAGCTATCTGATCATCGAAAGATTTGGGGGCTACAATTTTTCGAGAAATTCTTCAATTGTCAACAAATTGTTGTGTTAATTTTTTTGAGTGAATTTTTCCCTTTCGTTGGGGTGAAAAAAAAATGTTTGTGTGTCGAGTGGCCACCACGTGTTTACCCGCCATCTTAGAGTCCTGATTATGCAGTCGAAGAACTTGTGGCCGGGTTTATGGCATCATGGATGTGATACCGAGAATAAATGACGACTTTTTTTTAATCTCGTGTGCGTAAAAAATGTATAGACGATTAAACTCTTGCCCTAAGACCCATTTGGCTCATTTTTTTTCACCACCACTCGGGCGAGTTGACACTTTTGCTCCGCAAATGATTGCGTAGTGAACGAGTGCGAGAGCTTGCGAAAGTATATTAAACACAACTACTCAGGTCTCGCTGTTGCAATAATTAATTGCCAACGAAAGAGATGTAAACAGTCACCAGTTTGGATTACAGTGGATCAAGAGACTGAATACGGATGGAGTTAATTTTAGAAAGTGATAAGAGCACGAAAATCCGTTTTTTTTTCTTCGATGAGGATAAAAGAGATGAAAATTGAGAAATCGTGGATTATAATGAGATATTTGAGTCAGAAATTCTTCGGACAATTCTTGAAATTACTTCATGTTGTTTTTACAACAAAAATATGTGGGTACATCGCGCAATGAGTGCAAATTTATACCAATAATATCATAAAAATTGGAATTACAGGATTGAATTCCATAGCACGCACAATTGCGTAATGACGGTTAGAAACTAGATGATGAGAGGTTTCCTAATATTATCCAGTTCGTTTATATGTGATAGAGAGATGCAAAAAACGTAGCATATTTTATTTTGAAAAATTGAGAAGAGACGAGCTGATGATAATGAGTGCTAATTTATTCCGATAATGAAATAAAAGTTTTTCAATTATTAGATTGAATTCTGTACTATGACAATTGCGTAATGACAATTACATTGATACAATTATCCAATTATTATTAACAAGGCGTGTTAACTAGGAACAGATCGATCTTGAAATGCTCAAACAAATTGACTTGCTAACTATAAGTGGATCCTTTTGTCAGTGTAAAAACTAGAAAAGTTTTCCTAATATTATCTAGTTCCACTTCACGTGACCGGAAAATACTAATAACGGGGTACATATTTATGAAAAAATATACCTTGCAATAAAAATATACCCTCCGACCAATGCAAATTTACCCCAATAATACCTAAAAAATTACAACTTCAACACTTAATTCCATAATACGACAATGGGCTAATGACGATTACACTTTAAAAAATTTTCGACTGACTTTTCCGTGTCAATTTCCGGAATTTTTTATCGTGTTCAAGGTCCACTGAAATTTCGGGAGATCTTATCGTTGAAAAATCAAATATTTCATTCATATTCTGTTCAAATGATCTGGAAATCAATAAAATATTCGATTTTTCAGTTCAATTATTCTGTGAAAATTCAGAAAAATCTGGAAAATTCCGGGAAAAAATGAAAATTCATATCAATTTCTTTCTGAATGCTTAAAAGTGGAAATTTCATAACCATTTTTTCCCTAGATTCGATCGAATATTACTCTCATGAGATTTACTGTAATATCTTCGATGAAATTTCAAAAAATTTCTAACAGTGTAGAATTTAAATGACGAGAATTTTCCCAATTTTATCTAGAATCATTCCATCTGATGCCGAAATTCAAAAAACAGGGTATTTTCACGAAAAAAAGCAATTGAGGGAGGACGAGCTGACGATAATACCGTTGAGTTAACATTAGCAAACTCTAGCGTAAGCCTCCGCAAATAATAGCACTCGATAAGTTTAATTGGCACACGACTGTGCGCGACACTGACGGGGCCAGAGAACCCGTGCTCTCCTTCCACTGAGACGTTTCATACATCTCATCTCCAAACTTTTCCGTAAATAATGAATCAATCCTCAACGCCCCATCATCGGGTGTCACCCTCTTAATGCATAAACAATGTAGATTCACGTATTCAGCTATCCTCTCGATTAACTTGAGAGCCTTATTATTTCACATTTTATTCCGTTTACACGCATTGTATGGTACATTGCATTTCATGCACAGGCATAATGGATACGAATTGGCTGGAAAAATCCAACGGCGCTATCGTACAGTCACTAGGCGAGACACTAATATTCACATTTCGTCGATTAATTCTCATACACATGTATCGGCCGTTGGTTGTATGCGTGACTCTTCGAGATATCGTTATCGAGCAATGAGAGTATGTTTTTAAAAAAAGATGCAATTCAGTGAGAGGAAATATCCTCGAAAACATTGGTATTTATGCCGCTGAGAGATCGTGGCATATAATTGCTGATAGTCATTTCTTCGAATTTTTTCAAGAGAAGAAAACACCTATTACACTATATTAATATTATATATTGATATTTATAATATATTTAAAACGAAGATTATCATGAAGGATAAAGGCTGAAAAATTAAGTATTCGTGATCATTATTGTCAGATTAATGATAAGGATGATAGTTTTTCAATTTATTTTCAAGTATTTTTCTCTTCAATTGTTTATGAATTCGTATTTGTGTACTTTTACATGATTTTGTTATCGAGCAATCATAGTATGTAAAAAAATGGAATTCACTGAGAGAAAATATCCTCAAAAATATTGGTATTTATGCGTCTGATAGTGGTATCTAATTGCTAATAGACATTAGGATTTTTTTAAGACAAGAAAATAAATATTACACTATATCAGTATAATATATTACTATTTATATGCAAACGATCATTGTCATGAAGAGTAAAGGCTGAAAAATCAAGAATTCGTGATAATTATTGTCGGGTTAATGATAAGGATGATGGTTTTCTAAATGTATTTTCAAGTATTTTACTCTGCAATTGTTTATGAATTCGTATTTGTGTAATTTTAGATGCTGATTTGAGCATGGGTACCGGGGGCACAGGGGGTTCGGTCCTCGGTATTCCAGGATCAGGTGTTGGTGGTGGTGTTTTATCGCAACACTGTGCCATTTGTGGTGATAGAGCAACCGGCAAACATTATGGTGCGGCGTCGTGCGACGGTTGCAAAGGATTTTTCCGGCGTTCAGTCAGGAAAAATCATCTCTACACGTGCAGGTGATTACAATACATCAGTTATGTGATATCTAACAAAAAAAAATCGCTGGTGACCTCGCTGAATGTCAATTGCGAATGGATCGACGAGTCGGTTATTAAAGATTAAAAAAAGTAATCATTGGCGATTCACGTGGCGGATTCGATCAATCCATGAATCTAAGATATCGGAGATTTCCATTTTTATGATTATATGAATAGCCTTGTGCAATCGCTAATCGATGATTAATCCGAATTTCATTTCAACTAGTAATTCTTAGTAGTAAAAAGTGATGGATTGAGTACTTGCCCGAGATTTTAGTATGCCTTTTCGCACGAAAAAGTGCATGCATAATTGAATGAACGATAAGTTTGCGATAAGCATGACGTCCGCATGTGAAAATGATTCTTTTCAACTTGATATATTTATATTTTTTGTCGATGCATCGTGTGGTACTACGGGATGTAAATGGAAATTTTATGTCGTTTTACAGAATTCTGCACACGTGGTATTTCAAACTTTCAATCTTTACTTTTCGCGGGTTTTTCTTTGTATAATAATTTTAACGAAACTGGTTGATGCAGCTGTGCACTGAGAAAAAAAATTACGTTTGCCAAGTAAATTTACCAACTACAAGAAAATCTACACAATTCGAATGCAAATGTTGATATAGATTCACTTGTTGCAAGTAAATTTACTTGGCAGAAGTAATTATCTTCCTCAGTATGCGAAAGAACATGCGATTCATTCAAATGCGTTTCGATTTTTTGAGATAATGAAATAAGAGAAAAGATTCAGGTCCTGAGGGAAAAAAACTCAGGGCATTCTTACACGGAGAGAAATGTTCAGTAAAAATTACGAAACTCGCAGTTCGCTCACCGAATACGGAATCGACTCAGAAAATTTAAGTGACAGTTCCATAAAATTCCTACAACCACATTTTATTCCGGAATTACGGAAAAGATACGTCATTTTTATTGAATATTTCTCTCCGTGTGCACTTCAAAATTCAATTTCTCAACAGATTCAGTCGAAACTGTGTGGTGGACAAGGACAAGCGCAACCAATGTAGATACTGCAGGCTAAGGAAGTGTTTCAAAGCGGGTATGAAGAAGGAAGCGGTGCAAAATGAACGAGATAGGATCAGTTGTAGAAGACCCAGCTATGAAGAGCAAACAAGTAATGGTGGTGGCCTGTCTGTAGTATCTTTATTGCAGGCCGAAATGCTGAGTAGACAAGTAGTGGCGGCCTTAGAGGTCAGTTTAATTTGGTAACCCGAGCACTCTGAATATTTATATCATTTGCCCATCGTCACAAGTGCCAGTGAATACGTTGAAAACATATAAATAATCCCTCTTGATTTCCATTTCTTTTCCTCGCTGTCGACTGAAATACTTCCATTGGAACTGAATTGAATAATTGATTACTTTCAGGTTCAACAACTTGGTAGTCCACACAATGAGACTGATCTTAGTAATAAGCAGATAGCAAACATAAACGACGTTTGTGACAGCATGAAACAACAATTGTTGATTTTGGTTGAGTGGGCCAAGTACATTCCCGCATTTTGTGAGCTCTCATTGGACGATCAAGTTGCTCTATTGAGGGCCCACGCGGGTGAGCATCTACTTCTTGGTGTTGCTCGACGCAGTATGCATCTCAACGATGTGTTGTTACTCGGGAATAATTGTATCATCACAAAAAGCTGTCCTGGTATGTACAATCAAGCTGCCAATTGTATTCTAAGACGATTTCGATTCGAATGATGGTGCATGATATAACAAATGAAATGATTGAATTCAAGATAAAGGTCGAATCATTTACTGTTGATTGGAATGAATATCAAGGAGTGGTTTTTTTTCTTCTTTCGAAAAGAAGTGTAAATTGTGTTCTTTGTTTTCCATGAGCTTTCTCAGATTTGTGATTAATGGTGCTGGGCCCATCAATTAATAAAAATACATAAATGTACGAAAAAAGGTTGGTGATGGTCTTGATCATATAGGAGATCAACCTCGTGATGCAAACTTGACGAGGGACACTGCACGAATTCATTGGGGTGTAGATAGTTGGCTGAGTCCGGTATTAAGTGTCGTTAATGCAAAAGTAATGGGTGGAGATGAGAAGAATTTTGCTTGAAATCTAGAGTCAACAGTATCGGACTCAGTCGCAATGTTGAGTATGAACGGTTTAACTGTGGTTATCAGTCATATCATTGCCAACAGAGGGACGCAATCAGGATTTGGATATCAGCAGGGTTGGAATACGTGTGATGGATGAGCTAGTTAAGCCACTGAACGAGGTGCAGATTGATGATACCGAATTTGCGTGTCTCAAGGCCATTGTATTTTTCGATCCAAGTGAGTAATTTTCCTTTGATGATGCCACTGGTAATGCACATTGTCTTGAATGATTTCTCATTGTCTTCGTTAATTCTCAGATGCTAAGGGCTTGAGTGAGCCAGCACGAATCAAGCATCTGCGGTATCAAATACAAATAAATCTTGAGGACTACATCAGCGATCGTCAATACGACAGTCGAGGACGCTTCGGTGAAATTCTATTGACACTGCCAGCCCTTCAATCCATCTCCTGGCAAATGATTGAGCAAATACAGTTTGTCAGGTTGTTTGGCGTTGCCCACATAGACAGTCTACTTCAAGAGATGCTTTTGGGTGGTGCTAGTACTGATTTAAATGGTGGAACAACTCCTCTACCAGTGCCCCATGCGCCGGAGAGCTATGTCAGCAGTAATGAGAGCCCCAGCAGTCCACTCACACCAGCCAACACTGGACCCCTGAGTCCCCAGGATCACATGCTCGGTGCTACCAGCCCTGTCATGATCCTCCGGGACTTGACAACTTTACCTCAAGACGATGCCAATACTGTTGGCAGCTTTCGATTATTCAAACAGGAACCCAGTATGGAAACCGAAACGCCATTTTGACTAGAGGAACTCTCACTCTACTCGGATGATGTTAAACTCTATGTGCAGTGATGTGTTGTTTAGGTCTTCGCGAATGACATAATATCTTTTTGTTTATAGTTTGGGATTAAGGTTCTTTTGGGGCATTCATCGGTGATCAGAGTGCCTAACACAGTCACCTCAAATCGCTCAATGTTTCTGATAATGATACATTTAAGTGTTATCTTTGTTTTTTTCGTTTTATGTGACGATACAGGTACTGAGCACAATGATATTTTTACGAACACTTGCTATCTCTGGTGCTCAAACTTATTGCTCAATTTTAAAATTAGTGATTACATTATCCGTGGTGGATCAACACTGGGAAGCATGATTGGGATAATGGATGGATGATAAATGACAATCCAGATTGATAAAAATGGTGGATCTTGAGAGTAATAAGAGAGTTATAATTTTATTTCCCCAGTGTTGGAGGAAAAACTGTGGAGATTCTATCGTTGTTTTGCGCAAAGATTCTCGTGCATAAATGATTTATCGCTTCACATTCTATGGTATTATCGTTAAAGGTATATTTTTGATAAATGTGTCGTAGAGACATTGAATTTTGTAATTGAGAAATATTTTTCATGATATATATGTAAAAAATGCCATTCCGATAATGCAGTTATAAGTGCAAGCTCACACATGTAGAAATATATTATCGTTGTTGTAAATAATGCAAAAATAGATAGTAATTGTTCAAGCTAATCGAAGTTAACTTTGATTATTTTTGACGATGTAAGCCGCTACAATGCAATTTAATTTAGTAACACCAATTTTCATAATTTGGTGGATTCTTATGAATCAGGTATAATAGATTCCAAAGTTCGATTTATGAACAGATGTTATAAATTATTTGATCAATCACGGGTGTTTCCCTATGAAAAGATTTCACAGTGTAGTTTCACATTTTGGCCGGACATGAAAGCAATATTAATTAGATAAGATGTTAGAATGCTCTCAGATATTCAGAGATATATTTTCGTGAAGAAATAATCTCAATTAATGTTAGAAAATTGCATCAGGGATACAAAAATTAATTTTCTAGTAGTTTTAGTATTTGTTGATATTTAATACTTGCAAAATATGGAATAAATTCGAGGCAAATTATGTTTTTTTTTTCGAAAGAGAGGAATTTTATTCAAGATATCAGTTTGGAGGCATTGACAGACATTTCGTTTAATGATATATGAATTTTAATAATTAGCGTTGGGTTGTGAATTAAAACTCTATGCAAGGAATATTACAGAAATATTTGTTATCTAATTATTTTCATTCTTGTTTACGATTTCATTCTTTAGTTGTATATACAATAATTTTTATTTGTTATTTAATTACGAATTCGATGTTTGTATAATTGAATAAAGGGATATGTGATTTACTATATATTGAATTTAATCATGAGACTCAAACTCAGCTCGTTTACGTTTTCTCAGGAGATTTGTGACTGTTTCAGATGTCTCGATATTTCCACCACCCTGCTTTAACCATGCTATTAAAAGTTCCCTTGATTTACGTCCGGAGAGGTATAAATTTCTCTCGAGCACTGGAAGTTGACCAGCTAGAGTTGGATCTGGCATTGGATTCTGGGCCCAATCCATTATTAATCTAATTCGAGATCTGAATGTCTGGAATAAAAAATTTCCCTCCAATATGTACAAACCCATAATGTGAATCACAGAGAAGAAACATGGCACTGAGATACAAAAACTGGTTACTTAATTTCAGTGAAAAAAATCACTGAATTTCAGAGAGAAAAATTGTTAAACTCTCAAGTTTTTAAAATTTGGTACTGGAATCAAGAACCGTTGGGGTATACAATTATTACGTTACGCGATTAAGGAAGGCAGGGGGTTCTGTAATTTGCGACTCACGATGGAGGACGGGGGGTGCCTGTAGGTTGTGATATTACAACGTAATTAGCAAAGATAATTTGAGAAAGAAAAATGTCAATTTAAGAACCTCCAGGTTCTTGTTTTAAGGGGAAACCGCAATGAAATTTCAAAACCACAAGGGGTCTTTATTTATCGTACTGTGATCAGTTTACTACTTCAGTTTTAATGTAAAAGATAAAAGAGAAAAAGTAGGTTGTCATTTTTTTCCTTGATGAATTCTCCAAAAGTGTCCTCCCGACGCAATTCTCGATTGATTGACTTTTGTACATGTTATGTACGTGTGAACCAAAAATTGTGAATACACTCTTGAAGATTTCATTCCTCTAAAGCCTCTTTCTGATCAATAAAACAATTCAAAACCTAATTTTTTCTTATTTTAAGTAGTAAACTCATTGGCTCGATAAATAAAAGCACCAGTGGTTTCGAAATTTCGGTGCGGCCTCCCCTTAAGAACCTCAGGTCCTAGATTTCAGGGTAAAAGGGTTCTCATTTTAAGAACCGAGAGTACTTGGTTCCAGAACCAAAGTGCTTTGATTTAATTAACATAGGTACTCGATTTCAGTAAAAATGGATGGGAATTAAAACTTTTTTCCCGGATTTTCAGAGCAAATTATTTTTAAATTAGTGAAAACTTCACTGAAGTTCAGAACTATCGCTTTTTGGATTTCAGAAACTTTCCTTCTCTGTGATTGTACCTCAACTCAAGGACATATGTACGTAAATACATACCAAAACCAGACTCTCTATGATTCTCTCACAGTCCCGATGATTGAACTGTCTCACAAGCATTCCTAACTCATAATAATGTTGACTCCATTTGCTGAGAGTCACTGCACTTGCGTCAGCCTCTAATATTTCCCTACAATAAATCAGCGGTCAAGTGATGATTCCCATTGAATAGGAATGAATTAGGGAATGCCAATTAGCGTAATAAAAAAATCTAACCGATAGCCTTCCTTGTAAAATTTTGGGATTTCAACACTGACAACTGGGCGTCTCCTGCAGTGCAATGATTGAGCTAACCAGAACGGAAGTTCCAGTTTTGTGCCAACTTTTAAGTCATCAGAATTGGAGGATGGATCCAAGAAACCTAGGCAAATAATTCGCCGAGGGTTTTTAAATGTTTATGTTGAGGAAAGTTAGTAGGGAAACTTTTATCGCTCAATAAATTTTGTAATAAAATTCCGAGTAATAGTAGATAACTGTAATTAATGCACCTGTTTGCGTTAAAAAAAAAATGATGCTTTACATTTCCTTTTCTACACAAAAAGAAAGTTTAAAACACCAAAAGTTCCACAATTCTTCTTCATCATCAGCTAAGACTAAGTGATTGAGAATTTAGTTCATAATAGAGTAAAATTATGGTAATTATGGTAATTATAATAGATAGAGGAGAGTGCATAGAAGTGGAATTAAACGATCTATAAAAGTAGAGACCGACAGAGTGAATTTTCAATTCACATTTTATTCAATTCTCAAGGTATTTTCGAAAATTTAATACTGAGACATGATTCGTGTAAATTGTACAATTCGGTCAGGAAATATTGACGATTAAAAACGTTCGGTTTTATCTCCTATCTCGTCTGAACCGTCGGCGAAATTTCAACTTGTAGTCCGTCTTTGATGTAGGGAAAAATGGGGCAAAATGGAGACTTTAAAAAAATGTTAACTAATTCATTGAACGGTTGATGAAACGTGATATTTGTATTTTCCTTATTGAGTACAATTCTTCCGATTTGTGACGAGTCTAGACTGCGCCCAATTGATGAATTGAGTATTTCTGAGTTGAGAACATTTGTAAAAAAGTTAAAAGTTGAAAAATGTCGATTTGGCCCCCCTCTAAATTTTTGGGGTCGCATAGGGGCCGCTGAAATATTTATGACATTTGATTATTGGGATAATTTTTTCCCAGGTAAAGTATAATTTTGTCTGTTTGTGACGAGCCCAAACTGAGCTCAATCGATAAATCAATTTCTGACTCATGAACCTCATGAAGACTTTAAAAAATCGAGTATCCATTTTCCCCATCTTCTGCTGTTGATTGTAAGGGGTTTTTAGATAAATTCTGAATTTCTATTATTCAACATTGCTCTGATTATTATTCGCAGTGGCAGTGTCAAAGATTTCCTACAGAAAAATAAAATTCAACTTTTCCCCCTCAAAACAGTCCAAATATCTTATTCTTAATCAAATCCACAATTTCCCATTTTTTCTTTCAATTTCACTGCCTTCCCCCTTGAATCTACTTAACAATTCACCGATAGTCTTCCATTTTTAGGGTTAGATAGTCTTATAAACGCTACTTACCCAAACGTGGCAAAGGCACTTCTAATTGACACGATATTCGTTCTTCCGTGGCAATGATATCACTGATCGAGAAATAATTAGGTGTGTAACTGCAGGACAATGACATTTTAATCTACGAAAATGCAAAGAAAGCACCACTGAAAACACATCATCACTCAACATGACAGTAAACAGTTTCCCGCCAGCGATAATAACGGCTATGGCGCCATCGTGGTTCCAAATGAATGTGCAGTGAGAAAGCGAATAGCACAATGCATTGTTGACGAATGCAATCACCATAAATTATTGACTGGCATGTTTACTTGGACAACGGAATATTTACACTTCTCTATCACCGATACCCGGAGGAAAACTCTTTTATTTCCCCGTGTTTCTACACACGATAATCTTCCCGGTTCATTCGAAAATGAGTGGAAATAGCCTATAGGGGCGGAGGGGGGGGGGACAACTGTACGCAACCACATCTGTGCACGGTCCTTGCAGTCGGTCAAAAAGTGTCGGTGGAGTAGAAATTGCATTCGTTTTATTTGCAGTCGATAATAATTATGGATGGCGCCATGTGTCCCACTATTGGAAACGCTAAATATCAAAACGCCACCTATGAATGGCGGATATTGGGCTGCACACAGCAGTATGCAACCGAATTTGGGCTTGTGTTAGCGTGTATATGGGAAGCCCTAGATAGATTAGTCTATCCTCTTTGTACGAACGGGCCCTCCCCCACCACAGGCTGACTGTTGAACCATCTACAGGAAGATTTCGTTACAGTTGAGGGATTGAGTCGATAAAACAGTCTCATGTGGACAAACTTTTGTTTGAGAGAGCTCATGTCGAGCAACACCTCACGTTAGAATCGGTTCGATTTCTCCTTGAAATTTCGGAGCAACTCATAATTTCGTGAATACAAATAGTCAAAGTATTTTTTTCAACAATTACGTGGAAAATAATAATGCAGTGGAATTGTTTATTCACGTGAATAATTCGCGAGAGAAGGAGAGAGGTTATGAAGCCGGTATTAGGTTATCTCCCGATCGAGAACAGTATTTGTTGCTCAATAGATATATATATTTATCAACAAGTTATTTGATATTCAATTTATTTGTTTATGATGGATTATGAACAATTGAAAACATATCAACAGCAGATTTTGTCTCAGGCTCTCAATGAGGTAATTATTTTGGGGTAATTTCAGTGTTTTCGAACGAAAGCAAGAGTTATTCAAGGGTATTGAATTCCATTTCTCTAGTCTTCTCTCTGTTACATTAATTTTTTTCTATTATTTTCTGTATCTTTATTTGGTATTATCTTCGAATGCTCCTACCTTATTTTTACTTTTATTTTATTTTATTGTATTTTCCTTTTCTGTACCACTCTTGAATTCTTTATTTCTCTATTTCAATTTTTTGTGAGAGGAACCCTCGGATCTCTCAGACAGTTAACAAATGGGACATTCCTTCCCAAATCAGTCATCATGGCTGCTGATGAATTTTATTTTAAAATTGTGCCAAAGAATCACAAGAAAAAAAATTATTCATTTTCGATTGTCCCTCGCCTGAAAATCGAACTTAACAATTTCAAAATTCGGAAAATCGGGCGTTAAATAACTCTCCAGTACTGCAATATCTTTTATTCGAACAGTATTTGAAAAAAAAAATAAGAAGAATCGGTTTTTATTCAGCCAAATCCGCTCATTTGTTCACAAGAACAAATTTGCGAACAAACGTTTGTTAGAGAGACGAATGCTCTTGAGACGATAAAAGCTTGCCGAAAATTCTTTATTCATACAGTACTTGATCATGCAAATTGATGTTTATAAGCCAAAAAAATCAACGCGGCTAATTTGGCATGGAATGTCCCAAATAGTAAAGAATGTTGCTCTTCGTGCTGTTCTGTAATACTAAGTTTCCTTTCTATTGCCCATTTGATATCTAGGGTATCAGACGCAACAATGAACAAGTGAAAACATGGAGTGACTATAAGAAGCGCCATGAGAAAGTACTCGAGGGCCTGGCAATGTTGCCCCAGGATTTATCAGTGAACTGCATGGTTCCAATGGGTAAACGTGCTCTAATGCGTGGTAAATTAGTTCATACCAATGAGATAATGGTTTGTCTCGGTGATGGATACTTTGCCAAGTACAGTGCCCCACAGGCCATTGCTTTGTGCAATCGTAGGATCCAAAGTATGTCTTCTCCCCAATAAGATGTTTATCCTCTGCCCATGACACTTTTCAGGCTAATTACTATCACATGATGGATTTCAGGGGCCAACGAAATGCTGGAGAATTTGGAGAAGGAGAGAAACTTGTTCGAGATGAGACAGATGATTACAGATACTTTCGATGTGTTCGGTGATAATAATAAGAAAGATTTACAGGAGCACTGGGATAATGAGAAACTTGAGAATTGGAGAGGTAAATATTACAGGAAGAGAACGATTTCTTTATTCATACATTTGTATTTATTGAATTGCTCATTTGTGGTAGACGAGCACAGAAGACGTGAAAAGGAGTACAGACAAAAATTGGCGCAATTGAAAAATGAGAAGAAAGAAGAGATCAAAACAGAAGAGGATTTGTTTAAAAGATTAGATGCCCTGGAACTTCAAGAGGAGCTAGAAGATGAACTTTACAAGTAAGATATGAATTATTTGAGATAATAACTTTCTTCCAACATTTCTCCAGTTGTTTTCATTAAACATTGAAGAAAAGGGCAGTTCATTGCGTCTGTTTAATACAAAATAAAAAACAGATCAAACATTGTTTTTATATTAAATCACCAGAATGTTGCAGAAATATATTTTCTATTTATTGCTAAAAAAAATTTTTTCGTCGTTCAATGTCTTACGGGATTACAGTTTTTTTCATTGCTCATTGGTGACAGTATACTGATTATTGGAGAAGTTTGTTAATAATTGTTTTCAATAAAATATAATAAATACAAACTTTATTATAATCTACGTTCTAATACCTTTACATAGAACTGAAATTGAAAGCGCCATTATTTTTCCCCAGGTTAGAAGAAGATAATCCAGATTTTTACACTCTACAACTCGACGATGACGAGTACTACGACGAATCAGAAGTAGATTCAGAGTCGTACTCGTCCGATTACTCCGAAGAGGCGACAAATGAGATAAAAGAGAAGAAATCAACAAAATTAAATCATCGTCTTCAAGTATTGAATAGTGTGAATACGTGTCAATTGGAGACAAGAAACGATGAGACCTCCAGTAGGACAATAAACTACATTAGTACAAATGGGAATGAAGCGTCGCCGGATGAATTTCAATCATGTGATTTAGAAAAATCTAAGGGCAGTACTGTAGATAGATTAGAAGTAAGGGAAAAGAAGGTGGCATTTGCTGAGCCACAGGTGAAATATTTTAGTAATGAAGAGGAGATGGAAGTTAATACTGAGAAGAGGAGGGTGTCGGTCATAGAACAGAGATTATACGAATACTCGAAGGAGGACGATGAGTCTGAGGATGAGAGTGATGAGGATGACACGATTAGAATTTATATTAAACATTCGGATAAAGAGTCTGATGTTTCTATTAGTCAGGGGACTGACATTGTGAGTCCTCGCGACATTTATAAATTAATTCCAGGGCCAAAATCTATATTGAAGAAAACATTGAATAACAGTAGTTGCGGCACACAAATTTCACAGCTGGCTGAAGTCACTACTGAGGAATCGAGTGAAAATGAGTTGGAGCCGGTATCTGCATACAATACAGTAAGTCTCATGATTATTCAGTGGAGAATCATAGCTTTCTTCATTACTTCTTTGTGCTATTTTCAAGTAATCGAAGAGTGATTGAATATTTTCATAATTATTACAGATTGTGAAGGAAATAAAAGAGCATACAACGGTGAATGCTCAAGTGGAGGCAGTGGAACCCCAGAAGAAGAGAGTTAGTAAATTCAAAATGGAACGAGCTGGACTCAAGAAATGAATGATGTTGATGATATGAAGTGTTTTTTTTATCTGTCAATGCACTGTACATTTACTAAGGTTTTTTTCTTTAGATAAATATATTGTTATACAGAAAAATTCGTGTTCATTCAATACATGAACCTTCCAGGTTTTATTGAGATACAATGGGAGAATATCTGCACAGTTAATCAACAACAATTAATTAATTAACTTATTAAATAGGGAATACGGCGGACATTGCAGTAAAGTCCCCAAAAAAACGGCGTTCGCAACTTTTGCATGACCAACGGCCTGTTAACCCTAGATTGGCCACTATGAGGAAAACTCCACCGTGCGTCGTTTTTTTTTTAATTACAATTGACTGGCTAACTGGAAGAATTCAAAAAAATTTGAATTTGTCAATCGAAGTGTCTAAAAAATTCTAGTAGTTTTTAACACAAGATATTTCCCAAAATTGCTGAAGAAAACAAATTATTTCGAACAGATGAATTCAGTAGCGAAGCGGTAAACCGGGTTAAGTCGTTTTTTACTATTGCCTAGTTTGTGACGAATATCTCGGAATCTAAAAGAGATAGAATGATTTTTGTCATGACCTTTTTTGTAGAGCCAATAGAGCGTTATAAAAAAAGTCATGAGAAAAATTTTGCTATCTCTCTTAGATTCCGAGATATTCAGCAAAAACTGGCTAATAGTCAAAATCGGCTGAACTCGGTTTACCGCTTCACTACTGAATTATTTTTTCCCATGTTAAGAGAAACTGCCCATGATGCCCTGCGATGTTGCCGGAAACTCGCTAAACGCGCCCGGGCAGTGTAGAGTGAATTCGGAAACGCTAAAGCCTAAATAACACGGCGGCGAATCCCCGCGTGGGGGGCGAATTCGCAGGGACGCGTTTGCCGACCAGACTAGGGTTAAATAAACCGTCAAAAGAACGATGATTCTTGGAATGATTCTGATAAGGATAAGTATAAGAATGACACGATGAGAATTTATAATAAACATTCGGTAAAGAGTCTGATTTAGGAAGTGACATTGGAAGTCCTCGTGCCATCTATAAGTTAATTCCACGGTCAAAATCGAATTCATTCTTATACAGAAGAAAACCATTGATATTCAATCCATGAACCCTCCCGGGTAGATTAGCAAAGGGAAAGATATTTGCACATCTAATGATCACCAAACAGTTCATTAACTCATCCACTAGGGAATACAATCGAGATATTTGTGTACAAGCCAGCACTGAGGAATCTTGTGAGAATACTCTACGTGTAATTCCGAATCCATTCAATGGAAAGTCAAGATTTATTCCCCGTTTCATTCTTCATCGCGTCTTCATACCTTTGCAAGACAGCAGTGGAAGCACGAACGGAAAGCGTAAATTAAAAATGAAAAGAGGGGGACCAAGAAATGATTTTTATTCAATCCATGATGCCTTCCCACTAGATTAGAATAGAAGGGAAGAACATTTGCACATCTAATGAACAACAATCAACTCATCAACCCATCGGATACACTCGAGATATTCCCGCACAAGTCATCAACGCACCTAAACACGGTGATGCTTCAGAACTTTATTCGATAAATTTCTCCTGGTAGGCTTAATCAGAGAGCACCCTTCAACTTGGTGCGAACTTTTGTAACTGAGTTGTTGGATTGTTTGCTGTAGAAGTCGCCCCCATTGTTTCCTCACCAGGGGGGAAGGGGGGAGATGTATCGCGCTAATCCGTCATAAATAGGGGAATCAAGATAAACGCTGCTACTGACGATGAGGGACTCGATTGTCAGGCATTTATATATTGACACAGAGCATGATTGATCATTATTTGTAGGCATTCGATACCAGGGTTGGATTGTAATACCCTCATTACAGAGGCCATTGAGCTAATGTCTCGTTTACGCAACATAACTGCGTTTGGTATATGCTGATACTCAGCTCCATAATATCTGATATCATTACCAGTCAAACGCGATTATCGCATTGCTAACAACGGGAACTGCATCATCATTACATACTAGTAATTTGTAGCATAAATTCGAGAGATACTTGTAGAGTATCGGCACTACACCGCTAGAATTTTTTTGAAATTGCGTATTTGAACTCAATTTAAAATGACATCGTTCATGAAATTCTTCCGTTTATTCCGGAAATTCAACAAAATTGAGTTTTTCATTTGAATGATCGTTACAATTTCAATGACTGCTTGACGGAGAAAAAGTTGGAGACAAATTATGAAACAATTCAGGTATTTGCCACCTCTTATTGGGGAAAAAATGAGAGGCGAATTGTGAATTTTCATCCACTGGCTTCAGAAAAATTCGTGAACCGAAGTGTAGTTTGTCCTGATTCTGTAAAATGTATCCGGAATTCCATACAGAATGATGCAAGTAAACGTGAGTGATTACTTTATGTGCGGGCATTTATCTATTACGGAAGGCTGTGTTTTGAATCATATTAAATAAAATATTACTAAATCTGCACAAAGTTTGTGTAGCGGGCAGCAAAAATTCTGGTGCTGGCACGTCAATGTTTTAGGGTCCATCGAAATTTACCCATTTTGCCGTATAACCACAAACACAATTTTGATATTTTTTCTTCTGTGCATATGCTCCGCATTGTTGCCAGAAAAAAATACCCTACGGATGCGGAACATTTTACTGTAGAGGGAACTCTAGTTTTTATATCCACAGATGTGATTTTTTTTACCGGACGAATCGTAAAATATACCTCGCAAAAAAGAGTTTTTATTGAATTATGATATAGTAGAATATTCCGAGATTTTATAGATAATTTTTCTTCAACTTTTTTCTCTGGATTGAATTGTCAAATTCATCAAAAATTAAATCAATTGATTTTTCAATTGCTGAAGAATTCTGAACAATAACTTCCTGAATTATCATGACTTTAATGATATGTTAACTTCCAGATGAAAATTTGAGTATTTGTGAATATTCCAAAATTAGTTGAGTCGTCAATAACAACATATATAGGTATTTCACATTATTTCATTTCAATTTGAGAAGAAATATGCCAACAGTGGAGCGAAGCAAATGTTGCTTTCAATTGAAAACTTCGGTGGACAGTTTTTTCTTTTCATCAGCATTTTTCTCCTCGTTTATTACAGTCGACAATTGATCCCATCAGGGCTGAGGGGATTCCGTTAATAGCTGCGGTTTCAATGATTGATGACGTGACCGGAAGGATCATTATTTCCATCGGATCATTCGGTGGGGCGATAGAAGGAAATTTGCTTTGTACGTGTCTAGTACAGCTCAAAATATCTATATGGAAGCGAAATAAATCAGAATCTATTATTCCTATTTAATTGCATAGATAGGTAAGTAACAGGGGGTGGGGGGGGGGGGATAGGATACGAAGATGAATCAGCAATTATTGTCGTATACCAATTGTTGATGAAATAATCAGCGGTAATTCCCCAAGAGCTTCAAAATGATCGAATATTTTCCGACAATTTTGCATACAAACGTATTTTCATATCACAGCAAAACGAAAGTTTTGATTTTCCGGAATCTATCACCAATTATTGGTGATACTGGACACCAATAATTGGTGATTTTTATCACTGAAATTTGGCGATGGATTCCCAAAAATTAGAGATGTCTTCTTGAAAATTAGTCCCACTACTCTGCAAATTAGTCATAATGTCTCTAAAAATTAGTGACATGTCCTCTGAAAATTAACATGTTTTTTCTCGGTGTGGAGGTTACAAAAAACCTGAGCACTTGGGCGAGGGAGTTTTCCTGTGAAACTTGACATGCTCATTGGGAACCTTGAGAGAAATATCCAATTCATTTTGATTTTTTTTATTGACAATTTTTCCATCCAAATTTCGGCCGAGAGAATTGCATCATGAGACGAAATTAGCAGTTGAGAGCTGGAAAGTCTGAATTTTATCCATGCGACCTTCGACTTTTTACATATAAGCAACATGAGAAGTGATCAATTAAATTGTCAAAAATTATCAGTTGAATATTACCAAGCAAATTATACAGCTTCTATGTTTAGCCGAGAGATATCCCAAAACGAACATTAATTCTTCGTAAAAATTTATGAAACGACGCGACACCTACGTTGAAAGTTTTGAGTCTCATGTTATGTGCATGAGAAACTGTCAAATAGGCTTTGAGAGGATCAACCGCAGTAAAAGTTTGTGGCAAATGCATGTGCTTCACTCAGTATTTTCTCTGGTCACAAAGAACACATGTGGGTGGGAGTTTCGCAGAATGAGAACAAAGTAAACATGAAGGTACCCTGACGTAAATTTCATTTCACTCGAGAAATGTAGATTTCGGAACCGCAGTGCAATATTCTACTGTGTTTCAAACATCGCTGTGATCCACCCGGATCGAAATGAATATTTGTTTCAGTTGCCACAGGGTTTGTGATTATAACCCAAAAAACTGTCTCTTTGAGTGTATGTAATTCCAAGCTTCAATGACGAAACCGCCACAGAGAAAAATCTTTTCCCCGAGTGGAAGCAGCAGCGAAATTTGGAAACACCACAGTTTGTGTGAAATCGTTCCAATTGCATTCTGTGAATGTGCATGGATAAAAATAGATAGTCAAAATTGTTCCGAAGGCATAACAAAAGTTACTGAATATAATGAAAATCGCTCCTTGTTGACGTGAATTTTACCTCCCAGTGTACGGAAAAATCCAATTTTTCGTATTGAAATGTTTACGATCATTGATGGGTTGCCGAGGAAGAATAGCAGGTTTGACTCTGATTATTTTTCTCAATCGGATTTCGACCCATCAGAACGCAGCGTTTGAGGCTACCCGACAGTTTTATTTCGGATATTTCCTCCTAGCTTTTGCATATTTCGCAGTAGTTCTTCATTTTTTGGGGTCACTAACGGAGAAAGGAGGATTTGGTCACCGACTTTCCATGACATTATACACTGTTAGAAATTCCTCGAAATTTCAGTCACAGCGTCATCTGAATTTTCGAAGTTGTGAAGTTGAATTCAATTTCAATTCCTCCCCTCTTAATAGAAATTTTTCGGAATAGAAACCTTCAATCCCCTCTGTGTTTCAAACAAGAGAAGTTCCCTCAAAAACAATAAATGTCCAATTCGAAAGCTATCCTCTTCTCCCCTGTACGAGTACTTGAACAATACAGCAAGTTCATCAATGAATCAGTTAACTATCAATATCGACGACATCGTCTGTTGTCTCTCCAAATACGAAACTTGGGAGTTTGACGTCTGCGTACAATCCAATCAAGATGCTATCTAAACTTGCTCACTGCTGATCCGTGCAGCGTAATATCCCGACTGTCCCAATCCAAAACCAAGTACGGGTATTCACTTTGTTTTATTCCCCAGTTGACAAACAGCTGTAGTATCGGTAACTCATTGAAGCATCCCTTCAATGCTTGCGCGGCCCGCCCAAGCGCTATAGATTACAGTCATGAAATACTGACGATGATTGATAAATTTTACTGGTGTATCTGTTTTGTTCCAATTGAATACTGCGATGAAGTGGTTGAATTCACCAAAAGACATGCGCCCTGTCTACTTACCTTTACGCGCCGAATGCCCAAGAGGGCGGTGAGTTTTCATCCCTCTTCAGTCTGGCGCCGCGTGCGATCACGGTTAGTGGTTCCGTGGGAATCCCATCCAATTGCCGCTCGTCACACTCAACGATTTGACAGAAATATTGCGCCCATCCGTTCCACCGAGGAAGAACAAAACTCATTTTTTTAATCCCTCAAAAAACATCCATCAGCAGCAATGACAGTTTCAATTTTCCCCCATTAAAAAAAAAAGTTTTATGAATGTTCCAGTGACACTTGTTCGCGTTAAACTATTTCTCCATAACTTCCCTTCGCTTGAGTGATGGAGGGTGCACTTACTCCGCAAAACGCAACAGAAATGTGTCCGATTGATTTCAGATAACATTCAAGTTTGAACACGTGGCTCACAGTGGGTTCTCCCCATAACCCTTCCGCCTCCTGCACCACTTTATCGCTGTCACTGGCCTCCTCTAGCCACAGCAAAAACTCGGAAAAATTCTCAGATGTGGACACCAATAAATCTAGTGTAACCATCCACCTCTGAACATTGAGCACTAAATGGAGAGAAAAACATTGCGAAACCATCGAGCGTCCACTTGACCCTCGTCCATAATGTTTCATCGATTCCAACCGATTAAAGAATCATCAGAGACTTGAACATCGCGCGGAAAGCCCAAGAAAAAAGCCCGTAGACATGAGTATCGAGTGGTGTGCCAGGGCTGTCCTGGCATTGTGGTACATCTCGATGATAGCGAACACCGAGGAACTGCAGATAACAAAGCCCAAAGAACTTTTACGCCACCAGCAGACTCACCGGCCGTCCTTTATCGATCGTCGATTAACCCAAGACACAAAGCAGCCGCAAACACAGGTTGAGAAGCAACAGGAGGAAATAACAATTGTTCAACCGGAAACAGCAATAGAAAAACCACAAATAAGACACGGTAGATCACGGGGGCATTACAGCAGAATAAAATCAACAAAGGAGCCATCGCATGTCCAAACTTACTCGGAGAGTGCTCAAGTCAGTGAAGTTACCCTCCAGGATAATGGTTTGTCGATGGACTCCATCCGTCAGAAACTCTCAAGATCTGCCAACGACACACTCACGGACTTTGACTTTGAGAGTTCCACAATGACAAACATGACACTCAACATTTCCACGGTACCACGTGAACCGTATATTCAGTCACGAAAGTACGGTCAGGTTGTTGAGCAATTCAACGGGACACGCGCCACTGACTACCTCCGTAAGTTACGTAAAGTGGGTGCATCGAGTGGTGATAGAGTGAGTAGACGGGATAGAAATACCAGTAGACACGATATCTACGGTATCGTGAATCATGAACAAGTGGATGATGAGAGGTACAATTTTGATGACATGTTTGGGAAATTCGAGATCGAGGACTATGGTTACGAGAATGAACAGATGAGAAACAACACGAGTGATGGTAATTACAATGGTGGTGTTGATTATCGCGATGGTAGTATCAAAATTGACAGTACAAAACGCGATAAGCCCAGTGTCCCGGACGACGTGGTCAGTCGTTTTCTCCGGATCATTGAGAATCAGCACTTGTTGGGGGAGAATTGCACAGCCGGGACGGATTTGAATCTTGGGGAGGGAGTTGTCGATCAGTATGCACAAGAGAGATTCAGATTGGAAGCCAATTTGGCTGTTAATAGAGCCAATATGCTCACCAGACTGTGGAAATATGCCCCCAATGTGATGCTGTCGTCCGAGTATCTGCTGCATGCCAGTGTACTTTCGATGGTCGAATTCGATGAGGACATCTTTGCCGCTGGCAATTGCTACGACAAAATGCAGTACAAGGAGCGGTGGCTGTACTGTCCATTCGCTCACAGACTCCAGGATCAGGATGGAGTTCTCGTCAAGGATCTTGCGGTTGAGTACAAGTATCTGACAAACAGCAGCGAGTGGTTTTTCATCGCCCGAAAAAATGCCGAGAGGGTGATCGCTAACAGTAATCAATTCAGCCGGGGTAAGTTTCATGATTAGTCAGTATTCCGAGCATTAACGACCGGTGGGGGGATAAGAAATCTCGGTGGAAAAGTATATCAGTGATTTTTATCTCCTCGAGGAAGCTTTAGCCACTTCTTTAAATCAAACTCAGCGGGGAATCGGTCCGAATGAATTTTCCAAACTTTTCTCGGCTGAAAGGTACTTTAGATATGTCGTTACCTACGACGATATTCAGAAAACTTGACGGTGATTTTAATCGGGGGGAAAAAATTCGGAAATAAACCTGTCGCTCTTGGGAAATAGGGGGGAGTGGGCTCAGGGTGGAGTAGGGTAATTAAGTAATCGCACACGAGGCGGTTCTACTGGGCTTATCCGAATAAGAGTCTACAATCACGTCCTGGGTGAGCAGTTTCCACTTGTGCCGAACACATGAAGGTTTAGAGGGTGAAAATAGAGAAATGACGTGCTCGGATAATAATCTCGGAATGTCCCAGCGAGCTGTTTAATTTAACCATGAAAGTGGAATGCGATAAACTTCTCAATGTCCCGTGAAAAGTCTCACAATCATGGCATATATACCAGATTTTGTCGTTTGCGTTATGTCTAGAGCATTTTGTTTTGCTATGGTGCTAAACATGTCGTCAGATGGAAGGTGAATTTATGTCTTTTGTTTCATATCATGTAAATAGCAAGGGTAAGGCAGGGTCGGTACAAGGTCGTCCCTCAGGAATGGTAACTCACGAAAAGCTTCACAATGATAGTGATAAATGACTACATGCAGGTGAATGAAAATATGTATGTGATATTTTATCGAGAGCACTTGACATCAAATTTTTATAGGCCTTTTAGCAAGTGGAATAATGGAGATTTTACCTCGCGCATTTTCTGAGGGCAAAGTTTCGTGCCAAAATTCCGTGTTAATTATCCAGACGGTAGACGGAGAGGTTTTTGACATAATGTAAGTTATAAATATGGTACGAGTGGGGAAAACGAGGTCCTTTCACCGGGAGTGAAATTCGAGGGAGAAAAGCGGATAATCGATGGAGCGATTTCCAAAAATAATTGAGTTGCATGGACTGGATGATGAGTGAGTGCGAGAATAGATGGGTGAAAATACGATGAAATCAACGTGAGAATTAGGGATTGGGCCGAATTTATTTTCATTGTTGGGGGGATGAAATAATAGGTGGATCTATAATGTGGACAGGTCGAAAGGTGAAGAGGTTAAACCGTCGTATTTTGAGTCCTATGTGATGCTGAATTCTCATTTCTGATTCAATCGAGAGTGACGGCTGGGTGGAATAGACTCGGAGGAGTATCAATAATCCAGATTATTGTGTAATCTGGGAATAAATATTTCCAATGTTGTGAATAATTTAGTACATCGGGTCTCATTGGGTTGTCGATATTCAGTTGCACGAGTGCATTAGTATCGACTTTATTGGTTTCTCTTATTATATCTGTCTCATGTCCCGGTAGTAAGTCACATTTGAAAACTTTACCTGTCGTTTCTGAACGAAAGCTCCTTCAGTGCTCGAGTGTATGCTCCAGAATAACGATATTTTATTTCTGTGAGATAAATTTTAGATGATGGGAAGGAAAGGAGGCAGCAGAATAACAGAATATTCGTGGGCTGCATCGAATGTAGATGAATACACGTCGTAGTAATAGCAATAAGTATGTCAATCCGCTCGTAAAAATCGAGGATCCATTGAGATGTGGAGGGATTTCATTAATTATACAGACACAAGTGGGAACTTTGAGGATCGATATTTAATCTAGTCGGATCTCAAGCACAGGGGGTATTATAGATGGTGCGATACGCCTGCAGTAGGAACTATTAAGAAAATATTAACCCCCTATTATTGCCACTTGAGGGGTGAATACTAATCTATGAAATCACCTACGAGTTATTGTCATGATACCTCTTAGGTCCTCATGTGCCAGTGAAATGGGGAGAGGCTGTATAAGTAGGTATATGGTGGGGAATGCCTTGACTATTCTCGACCCCCAATACTCATTTGGAAGTGTCGTAAAAAAATGTGGGGTAATATTGTGAAATTTCCCTCTGAGCGAATTCGAAATGAGAAGGATCAAGAAGTTATTGTCGAGAAATGCACAAATTGGGTGAGCACGCACCCCACATAGGGCGCATTCCAAATTGGATAGGATATATTTTTATATTTTTATGTGCGGGAGAAATGATACAGTATAGTATCAGGGCTTTGTTGCTACCGTGTTTCTGTTTCGGGATAATGGAGTGGTTCGCAAATTCTCCTTTGTTGGTGTCTTCGATACTTAATTGAAGTTTATGATGAGAAAACATTGTCGTGTTTTATTATGAGATCACTAGCATACTTCATTACTTTGGTATTAATTTAGGAATGAAGGGGATTCAGAGCAGTACAATAATTATTCAGAAAATTCTTATTTTTTGAGAATATTAATATGCATGACTTTTTGGCTTTTGTTGGCGATTCCTGAAAATACTTCTCTCTTGAAATCCGTTAAATTTGATGATTCCATGCGCGAAAAAGAGTGTGAATATTTCAAAACTATTGAATATTTTTGAATTTCTCGAAATTAAACTAACTCATTTTTAATTAGAACGCGAATTAGAAAGTAATTAGAACCTGAAACTTTATGTTGCTCAGATAAAATATGTAATCCATCTCCTACCTCCACCACAAACACGAAAATGAAGAAAATTGAAAGAATGACAATCCGAATCCACCCCTTGATATTAGTCCCCAATGGTCTTTTAGTGTGATTATTACGGTCGATTGGAACGTGCTTGGAACCCTGGAATTCCGGTCACCGCGTCAGTTCAGGATGTATCTATCGGATGTGGTCGGGTTAGCTACCCCACCCCTCCTGCCCATTACCGTGCATTCTAATCCATCGGTCATTCAATTGGATTTCAACGGATTTCTCTCAGTGATTTTGTCAGTAGCCTCAATATCTTCCAGCCTGCATTCTACCCCCAATATGGCTAATCTGCGTGTGCAGACATTAATTAACAATTAAATTCTATTATTAACAGTTTGCTGCCCTTGAATATAACAATCAATTATGCCTGCACGGGGAGGAGATAAAATAGTAAAAATCCCTGTGTCGAGATTTTCACATACGAGGCATTCCCAAAGTGTTATTACGTCCATGCCCTGAGAGAAAAGGACATTGTAGGATGAAAAAAATCGTGGCACAAACCTCCCTCCGAAGATTGAAAGCGAAGTTATCCGCATAACTCATTCGATTTCATCACAATCAACAATCGAGATGGTGAAAATTCATTTGGTTGACAAGATTTTTACAAACTTAACCATCGATTGTATCAATTTTTGGCATTAATGCCACAAAAATGGTCGAATTTGCTTCAATCTTTCAAACCTTACGACTTTTCCACGTTACATATATTGACAAAAAAATTCTAATAACTGAAACATTTTTACTTGACATAAGTAATTCTTCTTTAATCGATTAACTCTCCGAGGCATCTAACTCACGTCTCCCGAGAGAGATCTCAGGCTTTAAAATATCCTCGTACTCAAGTATGATTTTGTGTTTGACAAATCATCAATCTTATTTATTATTCTAATTTATTGTTATCATGATTGTTTTATGCACTTATGCGAGTTTTTTGAAGTGCAAACGTTCTGAGATTTCAGCGATTGAAAATAATTTACTTCTCTCAAGTACATATGGTTACGAAATTACGAAATATATACGAAAGTATTACGAGATTTTTCTCTGAGTGTAAGAGAATTGCTTACGTTACTGGTCCCATTTAATCTTGGACATGGTAGGCATTCCAATGGACATTGTAAGCTATGTCCTCTTCCAATTATTGCCATGTCCAACGTAGTAGACCATTTCATGAGCCACTGTGGTGTTTACTCAGGCCGCATAGTGAGGATTACAGTGTAGTGTTAGTTAAAACCCCTCTACTATGGTTTTACAGTATTCCCTCATTTGGCGATGATAATTTTTTACTTTTATTCTCTTCATTGATCATTGATTGGAAATATTATACTGGAATATTGGGTTGGAAGTATATGTTTTTTACGCATTCACCGATAGGGAGGTATCATTTTTCGCTGTACATTTGGGTTAATTGATTTCAATCATTACAATGCCCGTTTGGTAACTCATAATTATGCGTTCATTATTCCAACCACATTGCATTTCTACGTCCAATTATACCAGTGTCTAATTAAAAAATGTTTCTCCAATTATCGCAGAGAGAGAATCATTTACCTGTATCCAAGTAGTCTGGCCATTTTTTTCAAGTAGGAATCCCTGTCAAAATTTGTAATCAATATTTGCTTGCAAGACCTTCACTCGCATTTGAAATATTGTTCTCAACTGGAGAATAATATTTCCATTTAAGAATAGTTAAGTGGTTTAATTTGAAACCGACGGAAACGCCATTCAGAACAAAAAATAAGTCAGACGAAGTGCTTTCCTAGGGTAATTGCTGAGGTACTGCACAAACCAATTCCATGAAGTGAAGATTGCTTTATCTGTTTCAAAATCTATTGGAGCAGAATAAATAGTGTTTTTTTCGTAGGATGGAATTCCTCTCTAGCTTCAAAAAACCACTCACAAGCTATCGATTACAACTATCAATTTTCACGTAAATTTATAGAAAAGTTTGCAATTGTTATTCGAGTTTTTGATAATATCCTGCATTTAAAGATTATTTTTACTCTACACATACTACACTGAAAGAGAAATTTCGTACAATGTAGATAATATTTACTCGAGAGAACTAAATTATTTTCAATGGCTTAAATCTCACAATGTTTACGCTTCACGGAATTTGAATAAATTCTCATTTATCACTATATCATTCGGCATTACACCATGAAGATATTTTATATCGAAACATTGGCATTGTATTTTAAAAAATCATGAAAACAATAAATGCTTGAAGAAAAATTACTTGTCTCGAGTGAATATGCTCCAGATATTAAAATTTTTTTCCCAGTTTAAGAGTAATTTCTCCCGAAAATTCCC